CAAACTTGGAAAAATGTTGAACCATCATGTCGGCAAGAGTTGCCAACTATATTTTTCAAAATGTGTCACGGGATCCTTAACTAAATGTGTCACAGGATCCTTAACTAAATTTGTCATGGGGATCCTTAACTAAATGTCATGGGATCCTTAACTTAATGTGTCACAGGATCCTTAACTAAATGTGTCACAGGATCCTTAACTAAATGTGTCACAGGATCCTTAACTAAATGTGTCACAGGATCCTTAACTAAATGTGTCATGGGATCCCTAACTAAATGTGTCACGGAATCCTTAACTAAATGTGTCACGGGATCCTTAACTAAATGTGTCACGGGATCTATAACTAAATGTGTCACGGGATCCTTAACTAAATGTGTCATGGGATCCTTAACTAAATGTGTCATGGGATCCTTAACTAAATGTGTCATGGGATCTTTAACTAAATGTGTCATGGGATCCTTAACTAAATGTGTCACAGGATCCTTAACTAAATGTGTCACGGGATCCTTAACTAATGTGTCACAGGATCCTTAACTAAATGTGTCATGGGATCCTTAACTAAATGTATCACGGGATCCTTAACTAAATGTGTCATGGGATCCTTAACTAATGTGTCACAGGATCCTTAACTAAATGTGTCACGGGATCTATAACTAAATGTGTCACGGGATCCTTAACTAAATGTGTCATGGGATCCTTAACTAAATGTGTCATGGGATCTTTAACTAAATGTGTCATGGGATCCTTAACTAAATATGTCATGGGATCCTTAACTAAATGTGTCACGGGATCCTTAACTAAATGTGTCACGGGATCCTTAACTAAATTGGTCATGGGATCCTTAACTAAATGTGTCACGGGATCCTTAACTTAATATGTCATGGGATCCTTAACTTAATGTGTCACGGGATCCTTAACTAAATGTATCACAGGATCCTTAACTAAATGTGTCACGGGATCCTTAACTAAATGTGTCACGGGATCCTTAACTAAATGTGTCACAGGATCCTTAACTAAATGTGTCACGGGATCCTTAACTAAATTGGTCATGGGGATCCTTAACTAAATGTGTAACGGGATCCTTAACTAATGTGTCACAGGATCCTTAACTAAATGTATCATGGGATCCTTAACTAAATTTGTCACGGGATCCTTAACTAAATGTGTCACAGGATCCTTAACTAAATGTGTCACGGGATCCTTAACTAAATGTGTCACGGGATCCTTAACTAAATGTGTCACGGGATCCTTAACTAAATGTGTCACGGGATCTATAACTAAATGTGTCACGGGATCCTTAACTAAATGTGTCATGGGATCCTTAAATAAATGTTTCATCGGATCCTTAACTAAATGTGTCATGGGATCCTTAACTAAATGTGTCATGGGATCCTTAACTAAATGTGTCACGGGATCCTTAACTAAATGTGTCATGGGATCCTTAACGTGCGCTGTGAAGCACACGTTTCAACAAAAATGTTTGAATACGCCGGCAATATTAACCAGGGTGGCCGACGGTAACAAACTGTGAACCTGTGCAACAAGTTGTCAAATGCGCTACCTTTTGGATAGGCCGAGTGGCGCGTCCTCTGCACTCGTGGGTTGAAATAAAAACGTGGATTTATTCCAGGAACTGATTTGAGGGCTTAAAAAATTTAGATGAGCCTAATGCATAGCACTTGACTTGGGACCACGTGGCAAGGAAGCAACATATTACTCAGGTCGGTCATTGTCGTCTGTGTCAGGTCATTAAGTTTTCCGATCGCCCCCTCGTGTTTTAAATGGTCGTGCATGTGAATATTTATTTAATGTTATTGTTCATTCATTCATTTGAGAATTCAAGAGATCAAGGACGGTCTCGTGCAAGAGCGACCGTGGACAGTTGATATAATCGTGGACGGCTGATCACCAGTGCTGTCATCTTCCTCTGCCATCTTCCTCTCTATATGACCATGTCCTCTATTGCCATAATAATAGAGCTGCTCGTGATGAAGATCACAACAAATAACCATCGTTATCGTAACCATTAAACTGCCACTATGTTAATGTGTACGCTCTACGGACTCGATGCATTATTGATGGACTAATCATGGTTTTACAAATGATTGACAATTATAATAGCCAATTAAAATCTCTCGTAAAATTATCTCTCTCTCTCTGTACTCGAATGTAATTCAATTACGTGGGTTTAAAATGCAACATTCATTGATGCTAGAGATTTCTGGAGTGAAGAACAGTCCTATTCCTGCGAAACCATGAGGAGGCATTCTGCCGGGCGGCAAAGCGGCGTGCGCGTTTGCGATGTACAAAATAATAAACGGCTTGCGGGTACATTTTATTTACCTCAGTGCAGGAAAAATACAGTGCGTCCCATTGGATGCATTCTGCAGACACAATGCGCCGGGAAAGAGACCCCGTCGATGGAGCGCGAGGATCGGTGGCATCCCACAATCGTTTCGTGTGCCCAACCATCATGGCGAAGGGGTGAATAGTGAGCAACGATTACTGTGTGTGTGTGTGTGCGCGCGTGTTCCGCGCGGGGTGAATTCAAGTAGCGAGGGGATCGGCACAACAGAGGGTTAAATAAAGGGCCGCTGAAACGCGGTGCACGCTCACAACCGCTTTCGTAAAAAAAAGATAAAACATCCCGCAGAGTATATTCTTGGTTCTTTCGGTAAAGTCACGTTGAAGGGAAACAATAAAATAATTAAACAAATAATGTAAAACAATCAAATCGTCACGACGTTTCGACTGTAACACAAACGGTCATCATCAGGTGTGAAAACCAACGGCAAGAAAGAACCAAGAATATGAATGCAGTCACGAAAGCTTTAAATGAAACATCCCGCAGAGTCTTTAGGCTGAAAACCCGTCTCGTGGGTTTCAGGGCCACCGCTGCAGATGGCCCCCACAGCGGCACGGCCTCCGTTGGTCCTTGACCACGCGGCGCAGAGACGACGAAGATCCCAGGGGCGGATCGCGAACCCTGGACGCCATTTCTGTTAAAGCTTCGTTACCCAGCAGGCCATGTAAGCAGCTTCCTGTGTGTCCGCTCGAGCACATGGATCACATTTGCCCGCAGAGGAAAGTAATCGCAATATTTAGTTCTGATCTTAATTGCACCAGTGTATGCATGACGTTTGAAAATGTTTTCGAACCGTACATAGCCAACCGTGCTCATCGGAGGTGTTCTCAAAGTTTTTCAAAATTAGTTAAGAATTCCATGCGGGAATGTAAATGCTCCATCGCTCTTGGGTTGCAAACGCCGTACACAACATGGACACACATCGGAGAGGTATACAGCACAGCTGCTACACCTGCTCTGTACAAAACTCCAAAGAGACATGAACGTTTAAACATTCAAGTATTGTTCTTATCACTGAGTTCTTTTACATTATTGATTCGTATTTTTGAGATGTATAAGACACTTGAGCTCAAAACTAGAGTTTTAAAATAAAACTACTTTAAAAGTAAATAACTGATAGGAAGGCAGTAACCTGTTATGCCAGACATATAATCTACATTCTGCTTAATAAATGATTAATGCCAACGCACCAGTTCTTCCACCTTCTTTCATACTGGTGGTGAGCTGAAATGTGTTTAAAAACGTGAGCAAAACGCTAGCTTCGCTGCACATTAACTGTAAATTACACACAATAACTTTACTACCCAAATAATCATTTTCATAACGCTGGATGTGCGTGGAGGGCTCGTGTACCTGTTAATGTAATACTTCATAGCTCCTTACGGGCCATAACTCAATGCCAAAATGATTCACAGACGACACTTTAATATGTACCTCACGGCCGATTTAAATATGGAATAATGCCCTGAGAAGCAGCGGCCTAAGAGTGTGACTGAGGACTTAAGAGTTCCTGGTATGATGGAGAGAAGACCAGAAAGCATTATACAATGCACTCATTGCCAAGTAGCGGGCTCTTCCCACTTTCTCCTGGCTTCATCATTGTCATCACACTCCACCACTCAGCCCAAAAAAAACGCACATCGAAAATTCGATGTCAATCTTGGATTCTGCCACTCCCCGCAACACCCGCAATCCCGTACTTTCACAAGTATAAAACAAACAACAATTTTTTAAAACAATTTCAGATCTTTAAATCTGATGTTACATTTAAATTCAGAACCTGTCACAAATTGTTGGTTAATGAGGTAAATTAAATATTTTTTTAAACGCTTGCGGATACAAAACGTCAAAAGCGCAAGTTTAACATTCAAACAAAAATAAACTAAAATGTATCCCCCCCCACCTTTCAGAGGCCCACATTTTATATTTTATATTTTCTAACCATTCTAGAAAATGATTAGAATTCACATGAGTCACCCACTCACTCATTCACTCATGATTATTCATTAATATACTTACCAATACAGAGATATTCCATGTGGGAGATGCATAGCTTATAATTAGGGTATGCTGGTGAAGGCTGCTACTCACCGACACTTATATTGAATCTGATTTATAATTGTACATATGTCATTGCTCAGCTATGTTAGGCCTTACTTTCAGGTGGGATGATGCTTCACCAACACAAGCTGGAGGGCAGGCCTTGAATTTACATAGATAGACTCTAAAGCAGCCACACTCGTGTTTACAGTAATTATTGTGAATAAAGCAAGTAATATATAATATTTTGCTCAAAATGTGACATTTTAATGCCAGCGATGTTCCATTAGCTTCGAATAAACAGTCCGTGAAATCTTGAACACATTAAGAAATGACCAACGCTTCATTCGCTGACGTAGAAGTTAAGTAAAAACAATCTTGGCCTCATCTTGACTCGGCGCAGGAGTGTAGCAATAAATTGCCAAGGAGGGAGTCAGTAGCGCGACAACACAGCGCCACGGCCAAGAAGCGGCCATCTTGAAATGGGCGGCCATCTTGCAAGAGGCGGCAATGCGAGGAAGCACCGCTCTGAAAGCGCCCGTCGGGAAAGGTGTCAGATCTTTTTGGAGATGAGCGAGTAGCGATAGCGGCGTACCTTCTTGGGCGTGACCACGGTGCTGGACGCGCCGCCGGGCTTTTCGGTGGCGGCCGCGTGGCCCGCGTCGGCAAGCGCCGACGACAGAGGGCGGCCCTCCACCTCGGCGAGTAGGCACTCCTGGTACGGGGGCGACTTGAGAAAGCGTGAATAGCTGTCGAACTTCATCAGGTTAAAGATCTGCCGGGGCACGCGGGGGGGGGGGGGGGGGGCATGACAAAGACAAAGACGCGCACACGCACGCCACACACACACGACGTGCAACGCAACAAACGCACACGGGCACAATCACACACAAACACAAGCAGGGACAAAGGGCGAGTGTACTTGCACCCACAAGTACGCAAACATTTCTTATTACTTGAACACCAGTATAGTATTACCGTGTAAGCCAGAACATGGCAAAAGAGGTGGTGGAACAAACACGATTCTCAACCTGTTCATTCAACCAATGCTATTGTATCGACCGCACGAGGACATTAATCGCCACCACACTACGTGCTTAGCCTCAGTTGATATTAAGAGGGCCCAATGCCATCTAGGCCCCAACTGCCGCAAATGTGTTGCATTCTTGTAAAATCTCACAGCACCTGCAGAAACATGTCAGGGGTGTCATAGTGGTGAGATGTTAACTACCTCGCTGGGTATGCAGGAGGTCGTCGGTTCGATGCCGATCCTAACGCCTGCTGTATATTTGGAGTGTGAATGTTCCCCCTGTGATCGCATGGATTTTTCCCGAGCTCCTCCGATTTTCCCTCCACATTTAGAACCAACATGTGTTTAAAGTATTTGGCCGCTATAACTTCCATGCCACTTCGTGGAGCTATCATTTGTGAAAGCTTCTGAAAAACAGCCAGATAGCTCAGTCGGCCTTACCTGGTAAAATAAAAATAGTTTAGTTTCATCGTCTAGCTTAGCCAGATATCGTGCTGAACAACGCGCGGTGCAACCCAACAACAACAACGACGCATTGGAGAGCTCTACAACACAACGTTGAAAACCTACGTGCAGTACTGAGGCCTTGGTTCGGCCTACCCAATAATAAACTTTAAAAAAAAAACCTCGCGAAGGAATGCATGCGCACGCCACGAGAGCCGTTTTCTACACGGGCAGCACGCGCGCGGTGACCTCACGGCAACGAGTGAGCGCGTGCACGCACCTGTTGCTGTTGCAGGTGGAACATCGCAGGGTGCGGAGCGTTCAGGTTGTCGTCCGAAATGTGCGCCTGGCTGTCGATGTTGACGGGCATGGCAGCCTTCTCCGACAGGAATCGCTCGTAAATCTGACGCGCCGTCTGAAAGAGCTGGGGGGGGGGGGGGGCCCACAGTAGAAAAGCGGTGCGTGAGCGCGAGTGCATTGGCCGCTCGTCTTAGGTGCTGGCGGCTTTTCACGGGTTAAAAAAAATTTGCAAGAAATCATGACGATGCACACAAAATAAATCGTAACTAGTTTGCAGATTTGAGTTTGTCATCTGCATGTAGCTTCAGTGACCAAAATACAGACCGCATTGCAAAGTAAATACTGCATTCCCATTCCAAACTGATTCATCATGCTCAGCTACACTGCCTTGCCACGTTTTTTGATGGTTTTGTGACGGGCTCTCTTAAATAATAACATTATGAATCAGCCACTGTTAAGAACAGGGGTCAGCAAACAAAACAGCAATAAGAGCCATTTCTTTTGAATTCGGTAAAAAAAAATCAATATTTCAAGAGCCGCAATGCACTGTGTGGTGAACACGAGACGGTGGGTCCTTAATAAACGACGTGACGAAGCGGTCTTTTAAAGAGTCGCGTGCGGCTCCAGAGCCTCTCACTGCCTTGTGATTCTGAGCCTTGCTGAATTTGCGCTCCAGGTACCTGGGCAGCCTGGTCCGACGGGATCTGTCGAAAGTCTTCACACGCCTGCCAAAACATGATATTCTCCTCACTGAACTCCTTCTTGAGAAAAGCCTGGAGGGGACAGAACATCGTGAGCTCACAGCGCAAACCAACAGCGACGCGCACACACATACTTTACCCTTTCACCATTCCGATGACGTACGTGTTTTTCGACATGTACGTCATCGGAACGAAACCAGAAGGAAAAATAAAATTACTTCATTGGTACCGAGGCTCCCACAAGGCCATGCGGGAGGGTGTGTGGCAAAGTTTGGCACCGGCTATCGTAGAGTGTGGTCGTGTCACTACGGTTCTCTCCGCTGTGTACAGTGTCTTTAAAATCAACGCCGCTACGCCTCTCTAAATAATATTAACTCTGCGCCGCTTGCCAGTTCAGAGATTCAGCGGTGAAGGGGACACCCACCCTGCAAGTTGCAGACAGCTCGCAACGGGAAAGGGTTAACTGCGATATATGTCTGGAGCACCTTCACCGTTTGTCCTTCAAAGTCATCGTCCCTCGGGGTCATCGCTCAACAAAGCCGTTAGCCTCCTCCAGCTTTTAGTCTTTCAGGCAAATGTCCATTATACCGCTATGTTTGTACAAGGATACTGTTCTTCAAATCGTTGTCTCCCAGCTGTTACCCTCAAAGGGCATTGTCTCCGAGCACTGCCAAGCCAGGGGGGCAAGGGAAGGCACCGTGCGAACGCGGCTGCCAGTCACCCCAGCCTGCACGTGCACTGTGACCTCCTGTGTGCCGTCAACACTCCACGTATCCTCGATGTGCACCGACACTGGCACCAGTAGGTCACCCCCCCACCCCGACCGCCCAACATGATTGTGGCGGGGGGGGGGGGGCAACCGGAGAAAATTGACCCCATCCATAGGATGAGCTGCCCTCGAATTTTATTTAAAGAGACAAAAAGGAAACTTCCCAGACTTGCTCTACTGTAAGCCGGTTTGTGACGAATCATCCACTAGATGGTGCTGTAACATGACAGGATGTAACGACACGCTGTAATTGAAGACCCATCTATTCTATTTGATTTTTGTATTTCACCGGGTAAGGCCGACTGAGCTATAGAGCTCTTTTTCAGAAGCGACCTGGCCACATGTGATAGCTCAACTAAGCGGCTTATCACGTGGGAATTTATAGCAGCCAAATACTCTAAAGGCGTGTTTCGAAATGTGTCGGGAAAAACCGGAGGACCCGGAAAAAAATCCACGTGACCACGGCGGCACCCCAAAACAGGAACTGCCTGGCTTTTACTTGCCTCGAAGGCACTTGACAACGCTCAATTGCATGTCTTTTTTATGTTCTCATGGGAGGTGCGGCCACCTCCTCCACGCGTAGGGATTTCAGGAGTCGCCAAAGTGCGACTGCGGCGCGGCGCAAAATCCATCGCTCTCAGTGCCCAACGCAAATTTGAATCCCTGCGGCAACACCAGACACCGTCGGATGGCTCTCCAAGCTCGGCACGTAAACGGTCCACAATGGATCAACGGCCTCAGCACGCACGACCTGCCGAACGACTAACTCCAGGGGTCGGCAACCAAAATAAGAGACTTTTTTTTTGGGGAATTCGGTAAAAGAAAAAAATATCAATATTTTAAGAGCCGCAATACACGAGAGAATCACGAAGCCGGTCCTTAAAGAGCCGCACGAGGCTCCAGAGCCACAAGTTGCCAACTGCTGGTGAGGGCCTCTCCCTGTGCCACGCGCACCGTGAAGAGCTGCAGGCCGAGGGGGTCGTGCAGCAGGCGCTCGAAGCACACGGCCCAGCTCGCCGCCCGGCCTTCGTAGCCCGGCCCGCATGGCATGCTGGGAAGGCTCGCATTGCTGCTCAGGCTCTGCTCGCTGCTGCACGGGTGCAGGTCCCGTCCGCTCAGCTCTGTGAGGGACATGACATCGCACGGGGAATTCAGAACGTCGGCGTGAACGTTTAGCTCGAACGGTATCAGCTTGAGAGCGATTGAAGAAGCTCCCAGCACGTGGACAGAAATGGTGGCCGGCACGCCTAACGACACGCGTTACGACCCGAAAACAGCTCAGTGAGCTGCACATTGTAATTGGAAAAACCTTGGCAGTAAAATTAGACGTCTGTAAACATACAAAAATTGTATATATATGTAAATATAAATATACATATCGGTGCGCTGCGGTGGCGAGATGTTAACTCCCTCGCCTGGTATACAGGAGGTCGTGGCTTCTACCCTGACCCTGACGCCCGCTGTATATTTGGAGTTTGTGTGTCTCTCTCTCCCCGTGGTCGCGTGGATTTTTCTCCGGGTCCCCCGGTTTTTCCCTCCACATTTAGAAACACGCGTTGAGAGTATTTGACTACTGCTATAAAGTTCTACACGATAAGCCACTTTGTTGAGCTAACATTTATGGCCAGGTTGCTTCTGAAAAAGAGCTACTGTATCTAGCTCAGTGGGCCTTACCTGGTAAAATAAAGTTTAGTTTTTGAAATAGATGTTTGAGTATAGTCCTGTGCACAATTCTTTAAAATTTTAAAAAATAACTAACCTTTACATCTAGAAAGCCAATAAACCACATTGGCAAATGTGCAGCGTGCGAGATAACGACTTTGCTCTCAGCAAAGCCACGGCTGGTTACACAATTTCCAGACGGTGTAAATCGAGGTTTCAGTTTCCAGGCAGTCTCTGATTGTGTTTTTTATTTGCGCAACAGAGCCGCTGTGTTCCAATGTAGCAATGGTCAGCGTCAAGAGCTGCCAGGTGAAATCCGATGATTCAGAGCAACTCCTGTTCATTAACAAACCGAGATCTACAGTAGTTGGGAAATTGGGGGGGGGGGGGGGCTATGGTGTAGACATGCTAGTAATCGGGGGGGGGGGGGGTGCTGTTTGATCCATACTTCACCATGCCGGTTGGTGCAGGCTGGTGCAAGTAGCACGTCTCTACGCTCGCTGAGCGTCCGATCCACTAAAATTCACTCATCAGGCCCTTGAGTGTGCCCATTGTGAAGCACTTCACAATGGGCACCACCAATTAGCACGGTTGGCGACGTACGGTGCGAAAGAAGTTCAACGTACGGTCCATACTAACGAGGCAGTGCTCCGTTTAATTTGGATTGGAGATCAAAGCTTTCGCACGAATGGAGAAGGTATTTGGCCAAAATCAGGGTTTGCAGACGACAAGGTTCACGATGACGACCAGCGTGAATGGCAAGAAATGACTGAGGGCGAACCAAAGCAGGACAGAGCAACATTGGACACTTTAACTCAACGGCAAAAAGCGGAATACCAATGCATCTGTAGAAAGGAAACCTCTATTGTGGAGGAAGTTTCACATTCTTGCATATTTACAGAAATGCTGACTGCCAAAAACAAGAGAGCAAAAACTGACACATGGGAGAGTTGCATCCTCGGAATTATGCTGAGAGACAAAGAGAAGCACAGGACGATGAGTGGCATTATACTGAATGTTTATAAAAGTAGGCTTGGCCTGGACACATCGCAAGAACTGATAACAGCTAATGACAAGACGAGTGATGGGATCACAGCCAAAGGAAAAAAAAAAACGTGCTAGAGGACGAACCAATTGTGGAGACGGAGTCACATTTTCAGTTCACGGACAGGAGTGAGGTGGATTGTGGCATTGCCGGGCCACAACGGATGGTGACGGTACTGAGAGGTATTCGTCCAACAGTGGATAGACAATAGCCGCTGAAGAATATACTGATCACAAAAATACAATGTTTTTTTGTTACGAACATTGTGATAAAGTATCATGTTCACAACAACTTACTCTAAAGCTACCAATGATGATGATGTCCATTTGTTATTTCCCAAAGCTCAGAGTCAGAGTGACATCCTTTAGATGATCTGGGATCAAGGTTAATTAACACAAATCGGAGGGACATCCAAAGCCAATCTTAGGATTCTTAGAATGCAACATCTGTGGCCTAAATTCAGACAGCCAGACGAAGGATTACTCTTCGAATCATTCTAATAATTAACTGATCTAAACCATTCAGATGTAACAAAAAATGTCTGAAGAGAATGCGTTGAGTTAAGCCACTTCAAAGGCTCACAGAAAATCGCGTTACATCTCCACAAATCGTATTTTTGACGATCGAAAACACACACACACGCATCGACTGTGATCACGACACAGCGCACCGATCATTACACGTAGCCCACTACACCAATCGAGTACAACACAAAGCGCACAGGTAAAAATACTCTGGAGGAGATCATGGTACACGCACAGGCAGAACAGCTAGAGTGCAGGGCACACAGACACACGTTAACAACACAGACACGTTAACACACAGACACACGTTAACAATACAGACACACGTTAACACACAGACACACGTTAACAACACAGATACACGTTAACAACACAGACACACGTTAACAACACAGACACACGTTAACACACAGACACACGTTAAAAACACAGACACACGTTAACACACATACACACGTTAACACACAGACACACGTTAACAACACAGACACACGTTAACACACAGACACACGTTAACAACACAGACATACGTTAACACACAGACACACGTTAACAACACAGACACACGTTAACACACAGACACACGTTAACAACACAGACATACGTTAACACACAGACACACGTTAACAACACAGACACACGTTAACACACAGACACACGTTAACAACACAGACATACGTTAACACACAGACACACGTTAAGACACCGTCAACATAGAGCACACAGACACGTTAACACACCGTCAACATAGAGCACAAAAGCACTCGGTTCTCTCTCTCAATAACTTTGCCCGAATTCAACCCAACGTTCATTAACTCCAAAATCCCCACACAGTTTGTACAATGTTGCGTTCTGTATTAAACGTCACGTAGTAGTCTACTAGCCCAAAGCAGAATACTCATTGGTAGACTATAATCGCTGGTAGACTAATGAGTCAGAGTTAAATGAAAAACTAAACTATTTTTTTTATTTTACCAGGTAAACCGCACTGAGCAATAGAGCTCTTTTTCAGAGGTGACCTGGCTATCACAGATAAAAGCTCAACGAAGTTGCTTACCACGTGGAAATTTACAGCCGCCAAATACTCCAAACACGCGACGTTGATTCTAAATGTGGAGGAGAAAACCGGAGGACCCAGTGAAAAATCCACGCGACCACGGGTAAAGCGAACACGCGAACTCCAAACATACAGCAGGTGTCAGGGTCAGGATCGAACCCACGACCTCCTGTCTAGCGAGCGGAGTAGTTAACACCTCGCTGCCGCCGTGTAAACGTAAACGCAAGCGATCCGATATGAATTTCTTGCTTGGCAAAGGCCAATGCTGTCGGCAGCGGTTCCCGGCGCACTTCGGCAATAGCACAAACACTTCGGCAATAGCACAAACACTTCGACAATAGCACAAACACTTCGGCAATTTTACAAACACTTCGGCAATTTTACAAACACTTTGGCAATAGCACAAACACTTCGGCAATAGCACAAACACTTCGGCAATTTTACAAACACTTTGGCAATAGCACAAACACTTCGGCAATAGCACAAACACTTCGGCAATTTTACAAACACTTTGGCAATAGCACAAACACTTCGGCAATAGCACAAACACTTCGGTGATACCACAAACACTTCGGCAATACCACAAACACTTCAGCAATACCACAAACACTTCAGCAATACCACAAACACTTCAGCAGTACCACACAGACTTCGGCAATACCACAAACACTTCGGCAACACCACAAACACTTCGGCAATAGCACAAACACTTCGTCAATAGCACAAACACTTCGGTGATACCACAAACACTTCGGCAATAGCACAAACACTTCGGCAATACCACAAACACTTCGGCAATACCACAAACACTTCGGCAATACCACAAACACTTTGGCTATACCACAAACACTTCGGCAGTACCACAAACACTTTGGTAATACCACAAACACTTCGGCAGTAGCACAAAGAATTCGGCAATACCACAAACACTTCGCTTGCGACTCCGCCGCTGACTGTCCATTGCTCTGTCCCGTGCGGTCGACCGCGTCACGAAAACGGGGGGCAGGCGTGGGGGGGGGGGGGGGCAGGCGTGGGGGGGGGGGGCAGGCGTGGGGGGGAGGGGCAGGCGTGGTGGGGGAGTCCACCGGGTCTCGAGAGCGGTGCTCCCCGTCTCGGGAAGAAAGGACAGCGAGAAGAAACGCAGGGGCGGCGCGGGCTGTGAAATGTTTCGTCGAGAGACGCATTAAGTAGTTCCCGGAAAAGGAAAAACTCACGCAAAGCGCAATCACGAGGAGGGGGGGGGGGTGGAGGAGTCCTTTTTCGGTACCGATAAGCAGCACAACTTCCCAAAATCGGCAGCCGCAAGCAGCCGCGGCAGCCGCACGCATGAACGTATAAATCCCTCACGGGACGCGAATGCAAAAAAAACTATACGAAAAATAGTCTTTGTCTGAATTTGCAGTCGTGGTTATGACTGCTTGCAATGAGGCACTTTAACTTGGCTTAGCGATGATACTTGCATGCATTTTTACCTGGATTGTTAGGGACAGTGCTGAAATGTGGATAACTCACTCTTTGGTTCTTTCGGTAAAGTCACGTAGAAATAAAATAAATAAAATAATAAAGTACGACGTTTCGATTGCAACACAGGCAACCGTCATCAGGCAGAACTCAATTTGAGAGAGAGACAAAACACAGACACGGAAACACACAGACAGACACACGAGCAGAGAGAGACAGCACACAAAGACAAAGATCCCCCGTATAGCCTACAGACTGTAGGGGCAAGTGCTGTTAGCGAGCACCTATGAAGGCCGAAATGGCACACGAGGGGGTGGGTGGCCAGCACCACGCCCGACCGCCTTTGTCTCCCCAGGTACTCATTTGAGGCTG